GGCAAAATTTACATAGTAAACATAACCCCACTATTTACTATGTTTTGTTACTAGTTCTCTGGCGGATCACGAATTAAGCAATGATCATCACTTTACAATTAATTGTGGGCCACAATTAATTGTAAAGTGATGATCATCACTTAAGCAATCAAAGACTTTGGAATTTTTCAAATTGATAAATAAAAAAACTTAATTATTGAAATCGCTTAGACGAGACCAATTTGATTCAGTGGTTTACGGTACCCCCCCTCTCCTGCCTTCCCCCCTCACTATATACGTGGAAAATTTTGAAAAATTTTTATAATACTGTGGAGCATTTCAAAAAATAAACTCCCTCCAGCCCCCTACCCCCCTCTTTTTTTGTGAGTAAGATGTAACGTAAACTACTGAATTAAATTGGTCTCACCTTACAATTAATTGTGGCCCACAATTAATTATAAAGTGATGATCATTGCTTAAGCGATCAAAGACTTTGAAATTTTGCAAATTGATAAATAAAAAAACTTAATTATTGAAATATTTAAATGTTAAACATGATTATTTTAAATTTATATTGAATTGAATATCTAATGCCTAAATTGATTAATCATGATTATAAAGTTTTCTTAATTGTTTTACTTAAAGGGTATATTTTATAAGAATTTTACTGATATGAAATAAATATAAATATAATAGATCGAAAATATTAAAAATTTTATAAATAGACCCAATTAAAAATGCAAAATAAACTTTCAGTTTATTATATTTAAAATTTCTAGTTACATGCAAGCAAATACTATATTAAAAGCAAATTAAAATGTAACATTGAAATATATTTACATAATTATAGACCCTATTCAAATTTAGCTGACACTTCTAGCCAATTTTGCTGGCACATTAATGCAGCTATCATACTTGGATCTAACGAAGTGCGTTCTTCATCAATAATATAACCAGCACAGCTAAACATCTGTTCAGATGCAATGCTTGTTGCTAGCACAGCAATAATATCCTGAGCCATTGCAGATAGATTTGGAAAATGACTTTTATTAAGCCTCCACTATTCAAGAATATTAGTGGTCTTATCAACAATATTTTCATCAAGGTACTGCTTGACTTCCCGAAGTGAGTCAGGTTAATTAGTTTGGTTTTTTTTTTTTAGTATATTCAAAAAAATTATCAAGTTGACTTTCAAATATTAACACTTTATCTTCAATACTAGGATCTTCACTATTTTGTTCAATATTCAATGAAAAGTAATCTAATGGAAAATAATGTACAAGATACAGATCTTCAAACCTAAATTGTTAAAATATTAAAAAATAAATTTAAATTATTTATGCTAATAATTATATTATATACATACTTCATTTGAATATCCTATATTTTTTCATCGACATTATCCAATTCTTGATTTTCATTTTTATAGTAATAAAATGAAATAAGCTGCAACTTATAACGAGGATTGAGAATACATGCAATCATGTATAATAGATTACTATCTTTCCAATATTTATTGAATTTTTCTATCATAGGTCAGTAAGTATTACGAACAAAGTCATTCAAATAGAATTTCATACTAAGAAGATAGGCATGAATACTTAGAATAGAGATGAGTGTATTGTAGATAATTGGATAAGTGCTTTTAAAGTGCCTGTTTTTTTATTAAAATACAATATTTAATTAATTTTTGTTCTTAAAATATAAATATAACCAAATTTTTATTTAAACAAAAAATATATTATATGAACTTTTTTGATTATATTATAGTCAATTAAAATAGCTTATATTTATTATAGCAAAATCTATAACCTACAATCATAAAACAGTTTTAAGAAAGTACAAATAATTTTTGCCCTTTCTCACTCTTCCTCATCAGGTATATCAGGAAAAGTTTTGTCCTGATCATTCATTCTAGTAATTACATTTTCCATTTTTATTGCTGATTGCAGCATGATGAAAGTAGAGTTCTATCTAGTCTCGCAATCTAAAGGCAAGATTGTAGCTTTGATAGACTCATATTCACAAACATCTAAAAACATTTGATGCCTTCTTGGTGTCGTATGTATTGCCTTAACACAATTGCGGATCTATAAAGTATTATTAGATTACTGTATTATTTAAAATTAATTAAATATATAAAATAAATACCTTTATAATTACTTCTAAAATTTCCTTTAATCCATCTTTTACAATAAGATTCAAAATGTGAGCAAGACAGCGATTATGAAAAAGTTCTTTTTTAATGTTAATTAAATTCTGCGAAGCAGAATTAATTAGTTCACGGATTGCAACATCATTCGAACTTGCATTGTCAAGGGTAATAGTTTGTAACTGTAAATATACAATATTATTAATACAGTATATATCAAATAATATCAAAATCAAGACATAATTATATACCTTTGTAGTAATTAGGTAGTCATCAGTTACGGTCTTAATACAATTTCTAATATTAGCACCAGTATGAGAATAGGGAAGTAGTAGCTCAAAAGATATTAAAAGAGATACAAGGTTCCACTTTTTATCTAAAAAATGAGCAGTGATTGCCAAATATCCTAGTTGCTGAAGTGACGTCCACATATCACAAGTAAGAGAGATCCTGCTTTCAGCATTTTGAAGAATAGTTCTTATTAAGTTTTTTCTTTCATTGTATCCTTTCATAATATCTCGCTTTACTGTATCAGTGCTCATACTAAAGCAAGGTAAAATCCCACTTAGAAATTTATGAAAGCCAGGCTTTTCAACAAATTGAAAACATAATTTATCCCAAATTATCATATCCACCAGGTCTTTTCAGCTTGGATTTTTTATACATTGCATTTGTTTAAAATAGGAAAATTTAAATAGGTTTGACCATTTAATTGTTCATTACATGTCCTATTCTTTTTAAATTTATTACAAGATTTGAGATGGCACCAGAGATGTGATGTTCCAGTACCTTTTTTATGAGCTAGAATACTTTTGCAATATTTACATTTTGCCTTTGGTTCATTTGATAATAATGTAAAGTTATCCCAAACTGCCAAAATATTTCTTGAAGATGTTGTTGAACTTGTGGCTGTGGCAGTGGTGGTGTTGTCAGTAGCAGAAGATACTGGTATAGGTGATGAAGTTACAGAGTCAGTAGAGATTATGTTTTGAATGTCCATTGTATTAGTAGAGGTTACGTTTTGAACGTCCATTGTATCAGTAGAGGTTACGTTTTGAACATCCATTGTATCAGTAGAGATTATGTTTTGAACATCCATTGTATCAGTAGAAGTTACGTTTATTGCAAGTACAATTCTTATTCGGCCAAGAGCACACTAAACAACTAGTGTTATAACAGTTAGAAAAACTTGACCCACTTAAAATCTTAATTAAGAGTGGCATATTCGTTTAACTTACCAATAATATTTTTTATTTTTTTATTTTTTTTGTTTTTTAATATTTTTTATTTTATTTTTTGGTTAACTTGCAATCTACACCTTCGACTACAAGCTCTCTATTTTTTGGTTAATTTGCAATCTACACCTTCGACTACAAGCTCTTTACTGATTATGCGGATTTCTTTTATTTTTTCTTGAGAAAAAATCTGCTTATTAATCTCTTCTTTCTTTTATACGTTAAGATTATGCAAAATTTAAGTCTAATTTAGATTATCTAACTAGTACGAAATTTTAGCCAATTATAGTTTAAGTCTTGTGCTTATGTGATTTTCGTAGTACAATGACGGGTACCCTTCGATACCCAGGGCTAGATATATCTAGATTCAAGTCCTACTAGGGTACTAATATTCAAGCCCTATTTAGCCCTATCTTCTTTTAAGGGTTTATAATTTAATACCCCGGTCTATCTCATATGGTACTACCCTAAGGGTACCCATGGGTAGCCCAGGCCCGTGCGGAGGCCTAGTTAAGGACAGTCAGGCAAAAGTTAATTTTTCAGAAATTTGAGCAAAAATATCTTGTTGACCGCCCAACTAAATTTAATAAATTTTTTTATTTTGATTCTATAGGTTTGTAGAATCAATATAAAAAAATCATCAAATTTAATTGGGTGGTTGTCAAGATATCATCGTTCAAGGTTTATAAAATTTTGCAGCTGCTGCTATTTTGATAGATGTTTTAAATATTTTCGCGAAGATATCTCGGTAACTAATTAACCAAATTCAACAAAATTTTTTATTTCGATTCTACAGATCTATAGAATCAAAATAAAAAATACTTATTGAATTTAATTTGGTGGTTGCCAAGATATCTTCACTCAAAATTTAATAAAAATTTTATCGCAGATGTTTAAATGTTTCAAAACATTAAGCGAAGATATCTCAGCAACTAAACAACTAAATTCGCTGGATTTTTTTATTTTTATTCTACATATTTGCAGGATCAAAATAAAAAAAATTTCATCAAATTTAGTTGGATGGTTGCCGTGATATTCTCATTCAAAGTTTTTATAAAACTTCGCCGCGATCGTTATTTGATAAAGCTTCAAGATATCTTAATAAGCACTCAACTAAATTAGATAATTTTTTTCATTTGATTCGAAAAATCTGTAGAATCAAATAAAAAAAAATTTTTTTATTGAATTTAGTTAGGTGGTTGCTAAAATAATTTCGCTCAAAGTTTACAAAAATTTTGCCGTGGCTATTATTTTGATAGGCGTTTTAGATGTTTTCAAAACTTTGAGCAAAGATATTTTGGCAACTTTCCAACTAAATTCAATGATTTTTTTTATTTTGATTCTACAGAACTATACTGTCGAGATAAAAAAAAAAACCTATCAAATTTATTTAGGAAGTGTCGAGATATCTTTGCTCAAAGTCATAAAATTTTTAAATTTTGTAGATCACGTAACCTTGCACTGTCCCTACTGTCCCTATAGATTTCACGCTCATGATTTATTGGTCGCAGAAACAGATCACGTGAAACTCGCAACGATTTTGACCAATCAAGTCACAACACTTAAAGGAAACCCAAATTGGATCAACTTTGGTTTACAAGAACCCAAATGAAGAGAAGATTGAAGATCAAGGAACCCAGTGATAACTTCATGATTATCACATCACATGATTAAGTGTTCGGCCTACGTTAAGGTTAGTGTTAGGGTTAGGTGATAAGTTAGTCTAGGCTAATTTATTTAGTGCTAGTAAACAAATGACGTAATTGCATGATTTCACATGATGTGATGATCACTGGGTTCCTTGTTCTTCAAGTGTCCCTGATCTGTTTTTTGCGACCAATAAATCTTGAGATAAATCGAAAAATCGCAAGTCACGTGACTTGCACTTGTAGCTTGATTTCATTGGGCCCTTATTCATAATTATTTTCAAATTTGGGCCCCGATATATAATTTCCCCAAAAAATTATAAAAAATTAGTTGCGCACATAAACATTTGCAAGTTTATATGTTTATATGCAGAATCCGCATATACACTTCAGATTTTAGTTGCGGGAATTTAAAATTTTGTTGCAGTCCCAGACATCGGGTGGGGTAAAAACAAAATCTTAACTTAACGTTAGTATAATTTTGTAATTGATTGGTTAAAATATTTACCTGGGGCCAGTGTCTTTTTGGCCTTGTCCCAACTTTGCCCCATCAAGAAAAGTTATATTAAAACAATAATGAATAATATTAAAATTAAATTTTAAACAATATTACTTATGACCCAAATTCGTGTCCCAACTGTCATGTACAACACTTCCTGATAGTGAATATTATTAGGTAATAAATGTCAGGGCCCGTTTTTCTTTTCTTTTTTTTTGCAAAATTCACATCGAAGGTTTACAGTTTTAGAGTCTGCACTCTGTTCTTGGCGCAGCTCTGCAGAAAGCAGGTTAATATGTTATTGGTTTATATAGAAGATTATGCTATTGTTATATAAAATTAGAAATTTTCATTTTTCTACGTATGCATTGACTTTCATTATTACTGTATATATAATTAATAAAAAAAACACTATATTAAAAAAAGTTCTAATACGTAATATTTTCTGACAACGAGTTGACCTCTGTTTTGGTTTAATGCTGTTCAGCTCCAAACGTAATACACTCTCTTTGAATGCGTTACTTTGTCTAATCATCTACGTGGTCCCAAGATGCATAAGATGCATTTAGGTCTTTCTGGATTTGAGACAGGGCTAAAACGACACATAATAAATTCTAGCCATTCAATAGGTTCGTTCTTGATTTACTTTATTTATCGATATTGCATTAATATATATGTCTATAGTTAAAGATGATAAACACAATATTCATTTGATGTATCAAGAAAGATGCTTTAAAAAGTTGATAATGGCGCAGTAAATGGCCACCGTTTACTATATTAGTTCAAATCCGTGTAAACCGCATATTTCAGTATTTTGAACAGTTTGAAAGGATTGAACAGCTTGAAAAGTTTGAACAGTTTGAATAGATTGAATAAATATAAAATTTTACTATTGAAAATTAAGCGTATTGTGGCCTCATGCATAAAGTTTAAATTTTTATTTGGTTAAATTAATAACTATTACAACATAACGATAATGCAATGTTTGAGTACATTAAATTAGTACAACAAAAACATCCAATAAAGTTTTTATTCAATTAGCCAACTTGAAAATTGACAATTGCTCTCAATTAAAGAAATGTTAATTGTTCTAATAATCAGTTAACCAACCTAGATTTATTCTTTTTTTATTTATTAAAAAAAAATAACAATGAATCAAAATGCTGAAGAACTTTATAAACTTGGACAAAAATATATAGAAGGTTTTTATATTGGAATAGATAGAAAAAAAGCCTTTGAGTATTTTAGAAAGGCTGCTGATTTGGGTCATTTATGTGCCTTAGGTGAATGTTATCAATATGGAATCGGAGTTGAAAAAAATGAACAAATGACATTCGAATACTATCAAAAAGCTGCTAATATGAGCGATACTACAGGAATATTTAATATTGGTGAATGTTATGAATATGGAATTGGTGTCAAAAAAGATGAACAAAAAGCATTCGAATATTATCAAAAAAGTGCTAATATGGGTGATGTTTATGGAATATATGAAGTTGGAAAATGTTATCAATTTGGATTTGTAGTTGTAAAGGATGAACAAAAAGCATTTGAATATTATCAAAAAGCTGCAAATATGGGTGATGCTATGGGAACACATTCGGTTGGATATTGTTATAGCCGTGGAATTGGAGTTGAAATGAATAAAAAAAAAGATTCGAATATTGTAAAAAAGCAGCAGAAATGGGATATATTGTTGCAGTAAATATTGTTATGAAAAAGGAATTGGAGTTGAACAAGATAAACATAAGGCGTTCGAATACTATAAAAAATCAGCAAGTATGGGATATCATGATGGAATGTATTATGTTGGTGAATATTACCGAAAAGGAGAAGTTGTTGAAAAGGATATAGATATTGCTTTCGAAAGGTATTTAAAATCTGCTGTCACTGAACAATGTGAAACTACTAGTAGAAAAGACGAATATTTTCATTGGATGGCATATGATAAATTTGAAAATATCGAAGAAATAGGTAAAGGAGCATTTTCTACAGTTTT